GCCGGTCGCGTCGCGCCAGCTCGTCGGCAGGTGACCAAGGCGGAGCGAGGCAGCGAGGAGCGGGACGAGGCGGGCCTTGGCGGCACGGGCTAGGCGGCTTGCAGGACGGCGTTGGGAATCTGTCGGGGCCAGGAGCGGCGAAAGGGCGTGCGAGGCGGAGAGCTGACTCGACTTTGTGTTCCTGCAGGTCCGGCCATTCGCACTCGGCCACGCCGGCGTCGTCGGCATCGTCCAGATCGCCTTGGCTGGCGAGACTGGCGGGAGATCCTGCGAAGGTGCGTTTGTGCTCACTTGCGTGGCGGTCGTCTGCTGGACTCGTAGCGGAAGGCACAATAAACTCGTGACCTACTTGCAGTCCGCTGACGGTCCTCCCATTCCCCTTGTCCGCAGATTGCGCCTCGACGACGTGCTCTTCGACAACCGGCAGCAGGATGGGCTGAAGGAGGGCGAGCTTGTCGATGGGTGAGGTTGTGTACGTCCCATCGTCCTTCTTGAGTGGTGGCGTCGACGCAGCTGCTGACCCTCCTTCTCCCAGTCTCGACTTCACCACCTTCCATAGCGACGCTTCGTCCACCTCCTCTACCTCCGCCCTTTCCGCCCTCCTCTTCTCTCGCCTGATTGTCGCCTTCGCTCGGTTCGTTGCCACTTTAGCCGCTCGCACCGCCGTTTCCACCACGTCTCCCTCGTCGCCTCTTGCCTTCACCCAATACGCCCGGGTTCGTGCTCGTCGCGCTTCGTCAACAGCGCCCGCCACTTCCAAGCTCCACCATCAATGAGCAAAGCGAGAACGGGACGGCTTGGCGAGTGGTACGGCGATGGACACAGTCTCGTAGAGGAGCGAGTCGAGGGCTGCGGCCTCCGCATCGATATCGGCCGGTGTGAGAAGAGCGTCGTGTGCTGTGCGCGAGGCGGCAAGCTTGGAGAAGGTGCAGAGGACGGCGAACGGCTCGGCTTTGCGGAAGAGGCGGCAAGGGTAAGCCGGCGGGCGCTCCGCTCGCTCGACGGCAAGGACGGTGCGTATCGGGCGGGGTCGGATCCGTACTCGAGCGCCTCGTCGACGCCTGAGCTGACCAGTCTCTCCTCCGCTTGCAGATTCCCTAGCACCAGATCCAGCACCCGACTTGACCTCAACGACGACCAGGTCGCCTCCGTCGCCTCGTGCAGGTGGACGAGTCCGGCCTCCTCGAACGTGAGTCGCGCCTCTTCCGCTTCGTCATTGGCTTCGAGTACCGACGAGTCCCAGGCTGGATGGTGAAGGTTGAAGTCGCTCGCGATGACGAGGGTGGTTTGCGGCGGCAATGAGGTGAGGATTGGCGGGAGGACTTCTCGGGCGGATCGATTGGCGGGGGAGCGTCCGCCTGCGCAAGGGTTGTAGACGCCAACAACTTGTACTGACTTGCGCTCGTTGACCCGCAGATTGACGCCGACCACATCCCTTGACGCGACCGGGAGTTGCGAGAAGGCGGAGGGTGGGAAGTGGGGAGAGACAAGCGCGGCGGATCGAGGGTGAGTTGGCTCGTCTGTTGTGTATGTGACGGGCGGAGGAAGGACGAGGGACCATCCGCGCGGCAAGGGCTTGAGGGAGCGGGGCACTTCTTGGAGGAGGAGGACGTCAACTCGCCGAAGTGCGGGCGAGTTGACAAGTTGCGCCCAGACGTCTGGGCTACGG